TGTACAACCATTACAACACTCTAAATTTGATTCTGTACTACGCTGTGCTAATTTTTGCTTAAAAGATTAAAGAGCTGAATGTGCAAAAATGTATGCCTGCTTTCTCGTCGGAACTATAAAGAATACGAAAGCATTAATATTTCCTTAAATACATACATAGAAATGCAACTGAGAATACATAACAAATTGGATCAATGTAAATTTCTCCTGTTTGATTAAAATTCGAAAAACATCATACAGAATTGTCAGCCTGTTAAAACACCTTCAATAAACACAAATGTTCTGAATATTATATTTGAACATTTTGATACCCATCCAGATGATTACAAATTTTGATCACACTTATAACTCTCATTAAATGTTCGCTGTCCTTCCACTACAATTTATTTAGAGTTAGATAGGATGACAATAGAACGAAGTAGTGGAAGGGAAAGGTAACAAGAGACTCCAGATGACCTAGAAACTACTATTGCAGGATTTCATAGCTGATTCTCTACTTGATCACTGATCGTACATTAAAATCAGCTTTGAGTGAAAAATTGAAGAAACGAAGATTACAGATGTGTGCAATCCATAGGCAACAGCATTACACAATCTTGGGGAAGATACTAGGACCAGAGCCTTTTTACTGAAACCATGTTGCGAATACTTACGTTGGGGAGACGAAACAGGCTCACTTGGTCCCGAATGAAATCGAAGATGGATGATATCCAGGAACGTGAAGATGATGCTTGTGGTATGACTGTGTTTTTCGACAACGACGTGGACATCGGCTCAAAAAATTCTGGAAAACGTGGGCAGTAGCATCGTAAAAGCGTACCAGGCACAAGAAAGAAAAACAGCCCACTGGATAAGTAAATATACTTATAATCCGTCGTCAAATTTAACAAGTGTATGTAATCGCACGTGAAATCCGATGGATTTATTTCTTGACGAGAAAACGAGGAACGGAGATCCCGCCAAAACCACTAGGGTCACATACGTTGCACGAGATAAGTCGTAGAGAAATCAATTAGGTCAACGATGCGATAATGCACGTAATGCGAGACGTTGAAAGAATAAGGAAATGAAATGAAAATGAGGTAACAAATACGCGTGGGCACGCTCACCAGCAAAATCGATGCTAGCGAAACGTACTCCCGAGACTCAGCGTCGAACTCAGACGCTAACGCTGTTGAAGACTGAACTGCACGTTGCAATAGTTACAACACGTACACGTTCAGTGATCATGGAACAGGGAGAGAGACAAGGTTTAAGAGTAGAGAGATGAAACGCAAGGCGTACGCCATAGGAGAACTTTCATGAAACGGCAGCCATCTTGGAAGTAACAGAAGCATCAAGTAGATACTAGTGAACGACACACATGCATAATTTCTGATGGGTACATCGTCTAATTCAACATTCATGTATAACTAGGAGATATGCCAAGAAATGAACTTACGTCGAAGGGATAGATCAAACTCGGTTGGTCCCAAAGTACACTCGCGAACAACACAATAATCGAAGAGCGAACGGTATGCTACGTGCAACACTGTTGTGTGTGACAACGACGTGGACATCGGATCGATGCGATTGGCGAATGGCATTCGGCTACCTTCGTGCGATGTCGTGAAACCGACTTCCTTACGGATAAAAACGACTACGTACGAAGTTATCCGACCGATCCCTACGATACGTACTTCCGGCAGATACAAAAAGACTCAAAATTTATGCCGGCATTATATTATGTAGATAATTGTTGGGATTCATCTAAATTCCTCGATTAATAAATATTATTTTCATAAGATGGCCCGAAATTGAAAACAGCTTCAATTTCATTAAAAATGAATTGACTTGAATTGACTTGGAGTCAATTTCCCAGTTATCTCATAATTGTATAAAATTGAAATTAAACATTATTATAATAAATTGATACATCTCTAGTATTAACATAAAAAGCAATAAAGTGTGCATAAATCGATTGATATTTATGGTACATATGAGAACGCCTGATAACCTCGTTTAGAAGCCATACAAAGACGTAACAACACATCGAAATAATGCACACTGATGCAAAATTCTTTCATTACTCTTACTAAAACACATCACAATAGAAAACTGACATTTCATTTTCTACCGAACCACGTTTCATGAATAAACAATCTTTTGTTCTCGTTAAATTCAATTGCATTGCATATTGTGTTTATTTCATTAAAAAGGCTATACGTACCTGGCCCCAGAGTAGGTTAGATATCATTTTCAATACACCACATTTTATAAAAGTAATAAAATTCCAAAGCATAGCCGCAGACTCTAACTGAAAACGGAGCAACTCATAATGTTCACGAGACACTGGAGTAAACTCAGTAAACACATAAATCCCAGATGGTTATAGTTGATGACCTCTGTACATTATCGTAGGTGGCACCACACCCAAGCATGTTCAAGAGGGTAACTACACCATTATCGGTAAAAGGTCTCTTGCAAATGATATGCAAGCATAAGATAAGTGAGACGCTTGCCGCGAAAATTAAAAATAACGCACTATGTTACACAATATTTTGAAATGAACTCACCCCTATTGCTGAGTCGAGCGGAATAAGCTTAGCCTGCAGCTGGGTGTAGCACTTCATTGCTGCGGATGGAATCATTGCTGCGATTGTCCATAACTCTCTGTACGAATGCTGAAATCATTTATACCACCGTTACGTGTTTCAATGACATCTATATTTCCCGCACACTTAATTCAAAGACCCACCATCGAGACTTATGACTGATTAATGAAAAAAATTGAAATAATGAAGCGACATAGTACCGTGCACTACATTTAATGATCATTGAAGGTACACGGTGTCTTTCGAGGAGAACGGAACTGCTAGACGATGAAGGCATGTTGATAACTCGAGGTGACTGTGATTATCCCGTGCAGAAGGCCGCGCGATATCACTGGACCTGCGCCGATCGCGTCGTGAAGAAGGGAAAATCACGAACGTTGAATTAATGGATTTAATGAATGTACGATGCGAACGTTATTCCCACTATCTAGCCGTTATTTCAAGATAACGTACCTGCTCGCGATAAAGATAACTCTGATTTGCCTGACCCTTTAACGCGCTGCTCAAGGCGGACACAGTTCTCGCGGTAAAACGATAGAATAGACACTGTACTAAGCCTGCACCCATCTTACACCCCCGGTGACTACGGAGAGGACTCAATGCAGGTAACGCGTCTTTGCTGCGTAGCGCTTGCGCGTACCGTACTTATTACCAGCAGAGAGGAAATGTCCTCTCTGTTACCAGAGTTCTGTATGAGCCAAACCGGCAGGGCTTTATCATTTCCGGTCGCCACCGACGTGGTGAAACGGCCCATACAGAACTCTGCTTATTACTGACTAGCTGACCCCAAACACGGAATAAAAATCGACTTTAACTTTTGATCGTAATTAAAGAACAAAGGCCACAATGACTAATCTTTGTCATTCTGCGTGCCACTCGCTGATAGTCAGAGGAGCGATCGATTAACACGCAGCGAACGATATGTTCGACGTGATTCACAAATTAATTATATAAGCTTACAAGTTGGAAACTGTCCATTGGGTCGACTTGTGAGGCTGTCCTTATTTTTTTTAAACGGCGGCGGCCGCAGGAGGCAGGTCGCGTGAAATTTGTGTTCCCGTGTCTCGGGTTTTGTTTCCTGTTTTTCCTTAAATGACAGTGAATGACGTTCGGCGAGAAAAAGGCAATCGCTCCGGGAACAATCAAGAGTCAATGAGTATCGCATAGTAATTTTCGATTTACACGGTATTCAGATCGTTTTGACATTGGCCGTAACTCAAGATCTACATCTTATCTGAAGCCCGATCTGATGAACGGGCTAAAAATATTGTTCGTCGTATGCGGTCCGTAAATTTAAGTTTCAAGGCAAAAACCGATATCCAAATATGAACCTGATAAATATAGTACGATCGTGCTCTTCTAACATCTTTTAAAATGAAATAACGAGGAAGATGATTGAATCTTTACGATCTCTAAATTTATTTCTATGGCTTCGACGAAATATAATGACAACTTGTAAAGTGCTCTAAAGTGTACATAACTATGTCTTAACGAAAGAAATTCGGGAAATTCGAAGTAGGACGGATCGTAATGGAACTAAAGGTTAGCAATAGATTAAATAAACAAAATAGCGCGTGTATTTTCAGTTAATCATACCTATAAATATAAAGGCTTATACATTTCCTAAATTACCCAAACGAGGCTACAAAAGGCACTCGAGTGAGCAGATGAGTACAAGAGAGAAATTTGGCGAATAGTACTGCGAATCTCTTAGGGAATTCAAGACATACGAATTGCAATTATTTTCAGATTACTTCCATCTACAAAATAAAGGACTGCATCTTCCTCTTAATTATTGTTTTCTGTTGTACTAATAATGTAATTCATCAAACTCAATTTTAATTATACAATACGTACACTCCCAAACTAAAATCATTTTTGTTATCTTCTCGCGTGAACTTTCTAAGAATCATACTGCTTGCATTTAGCGTTAGCATTCTATAAGCCTTCATGTCCGCGACAACGCGATTCTGCGAATTGCAAACGATATAGGCCTGCGATAGGAGCGAGCGCACCGATGATGAGGATGGAACAGTGCATCTGAGTCCGCGGAGACTGTTTGCGTGTATTCGCGAGGTGCATTCCCTCTGGTAATAAAGAGGATCGATGCGGTTTCCGTGGTAACGACACCGTCAGAGAGGCCGGAACCACGGATGGTGGTGGTCGGATAGCATCGAGTATCGAAACTGATGCAGTAACATCGCCGACGTCGGAGACGCTTGTTCCCGGAGGTGGCACTCCGTTTCGCGTGTGTGCGTGCGATACGAACATTTTTAACGAGATCGTCTCGTTTGCACGACGTCGCTTCGGAACGACGGGCATCATGCGGGGGCGGCAGACCCACCGCTTCGAGACACCAGTAACAACACGAATCTGTTCGGTCGCCAGGACGTCGGGAACGAGAGGATGCACGAGGACTCGTCGCAACGTGAGAAACCGAAGATACGTCTGCTGCGACGATGGGATGACATGCCAAGACACCTGCAGTTCAATCCTCACATCCGCACTGGCTACAGACCGGTCATGACTGTCGGCCAGTGCCTTGGCAGCCTATTCTACGTCCACAACGAGACTGTTAATATTGTGACACATGGTGAGTTTCTGAGGGCGAGTTATTTAGAATCATGATTCGAACTGGATTTTACTACTATCGTATCGCGATGAGTTTACAACTTATCGTAGCGAATTTCTAATTGTCTGATAAGCTGATTTTAAAAGAATACTATCATTCAGTAACTGATTGTTAGTTGTAAACATTGGAAAAATTATTTAACGACGATGCATATTGCGGTACCAGTTGTGTTTTACATGAATTGTGTGAAAATTTTCGTGCGCGTATCGATTTTTGAACATAATCATCTTAAAGGATTGCCCGAAGATGATAAAAAGAAAGGGAGAGTCGCAGCTGTCGTGATTCAATTAAGTGGAAAACAGGATTACCCTTGAGTTGGATAATTCCAAGGTCGACTTATATGTGAGAAATCATTATATTTCTATCGGCGGCGGCGGCGCGCATTGCGGGATAACAGAATCGATCAACGAAGCCGCACATTGTTTTATCGTGATCTATTATTAACACTAATAATATATGACATTGATAGCGATCATTTCACAGCATGCATTTCATTTAACTATTCATAAGCAGAGTTTTATAAATCTTTAACAATCCGAACGATCGATTTTTAATAATTTATGGCAGTAACTTTTATATTCATGTAGGATGTAGTAGAACAAAAATGTCACATTACATCCATCATCAAAGATGAGTTTATTAATATCTAATTAAAAATTAACAGGAAGAGACTCGTACCATGACGCATGCAATATATATAAACGTCTCATATCATATAAAACTGATGATTTTTCTTTAGTTGTAATTGATCTCTTCATAATGTATTTTGCAGGACTTGCTATTCTGTACATGTTAATGACCATTCCTCAACTTCTTCCATGGAACACCAAGGGTACTCTCTTAGCGATTTTATCTTGGTGCCACTTAATAGGCGCCGTTAGTCCGTGGATCGGTTCCTTTATCTATCATCTTTTTATGAATTTAAACTACGACGAAGTCTTCTATAGATTTTTATTAAAATTAGACATGATCGGTATCTGGCTGTGCCAAAGTTTTGGTAACTATAGACACATTACTACTATTGTGGCTGTGGTACAATAATGAACAATGTTAGTATTAATTTTTATTTTATTAGGAGCAATACCTATGATGGCAGCAACTGTTCATTGTCTGCCAGACACTTATTGGTACTGCTGTATTTTTATCTACTGGTTTCTTTGTATTTGGGGACTTCTCAATGTAAGTTATATTACGTGCCTCATTTATTCTGAATTCTCGTAAATTTTAAATACGATTTCGTAGGCAATGAGTGCTCAATCTCCTTGGGAGAGGAGACTATGTTTCGCACCCCCTTTCCTCATGAGAATGTTAGTGATGACTCTACGATGTTTCGGTATTGGAGGTGGTTCACCGAGTGCATTGCTTCACATCGTACTCCAGGTGAACATTATATGAGTTTCTATATTTTTATAGGAATTCCATACGAGCAACCATTTTTAATTAACGATGATAAATTTTTAAATCAAAGAATCTATTTCTATGTTCAATTTAAAATTCTTCAGGACCTTATAGCTGTCGTGGGAGCGACCATCGGTGCTATGCGTATACCAGAAAAGTGGATACCGGGTAAACTGGATCTGGTATTGAATTCTCACAATTTGATGCACGTGTTGGTTGTATTAGCGGTTTGCTCGATGCACGCCGCGACTCTGGAGGACCTCTCATGGATGTGTGGCTCTTCTCCGTGCAACAGGACAGAATCTCTTCACTTGAAGCACGATGAATTGTGATGGAGTTGGGTGCGTGGATACTTTTTAATGAAGTCTGTGATAAATCGAGCCTACGTCAACAGCTAATCACTTATGTAGGTACATACTTTGTTTAATGAAATGTGTAAATCAGAGACGATGAAAAATGTAAAACGCGGAACAAAACTTAATTAAGGGTAATAAAGAGACACGTGTGGAACAGTTTAAGTACAAGAACGAGTACAAAAATTAAATTAATTTGTCATATCACGGGAAATAAAACATATGACTTCCAATGGCAATCAGTCTTCGTGTCGATGATTCAGGGGATGGCTTTTTTTATAAAACTGGAATAAGCACATCAAAAATACATTTATTATTGTAATTATAAGAATTCAAGATTCGCAGCAATATGCAAGATGCGTTCTCGGAGACTAGTTCCGGCGTACGCATCGTTTCGCAATGTCGACGCCATTTATGTAGGCGTAGACGAATAAAGCTATCTCAAAATATCGGAATTTCTTTAATTCCGTAACCGACTCTTCGATTCTTTATACATAAGATCATTGCCCAAATGTTAATGTCGGAAAATAGAAGTTATGATCAATTGATTTCTATTTGAAATTACATACGTACATTACAGAAGCATAATTTGATCTGTGATTCACAATCGATAGATCTCATAATTAAATAATAAACAGTATAAATCTGGTTAATATGTAGTAATCATATTTTTGTTTCACCCATATACTTAAATTAAATACACACATGTGTTATGATGTGAAATTGAGAAAGACCGGAGCCGCAAGAACGTCTCCAAGTTTAAATAATATAAAATGTTAACAGAATCGATCAACGAAGCCGCACATTGTTTTATCGTGATCTATTATTAACACTAATAATATATGACATTGATAGCGATCATTTCACAGCATGCATTTCATTTAACTATTCATAAGCAGAGTTTTATAAATCTTTAACAATCCGAACGATCGATTTTTAATAATTTATGGCAGTAACTTTTATATTCATGTAGGATGTAGTAGAACAAAAATGTCACATTACATCCATCATCAAAGATGAGTTTATTAATATCTAATTAAAAATTAACAGGAAGAGACTCGTACCATGACGCATGCAATATATATAAACGTCTCATATCATATAAAACTGATGATTTTTCTTTAGTTGTAATTGATCTCTTCATAATGTATTTTGCAGGACTTGCTATTCTGTACATGTTAATGACCATTCCTCAACTTCTTCCATGGAACACCAAGGGTACTCTCTTAGCGATTTTATCTTGGTGCCACTTAATAGGCGCCGTTAGTCCGTGGATCGGTTCCTTTATCTATCATCTTTTTATGAATTTAAACTACGACGAAGTCTTCTATAGATTTTTATTAAAATTAGACATGATCGGTATCTGGCTGTGCCAAAGTTTTGGTAACTATAGACACATTACTACTATTGTGGCTGTGGTACAATAATGAACAATGTTAGTATTAATTTTTATTTTATTAGGAGCAATACCTATGATGGCAGCAACTGTTCATTGTCTGCCAGACACTTATTGGTACTGCTGTATTTTTATCTACTGGTTTCTTTGTATTTGGGGACTTCTCAATGTAAGTTATATTACGTGCCTCATTTATTCTGAATTCTCGTAAATTTTAAATACGATTTCGTAGGCAATGAGTGCTCAATCTCCTTGGGAGAGGAGACTATGTTTCGCACCCCCTTTCCTCATGAGAATGTTAGTGATGACTCTACGATGTTTCGGTATTGGAGGTGGTTCACCGAGTGCATTGCTTCACATCGTACTCCAGGTGAACATTATATGAGTTTCTATATTTTTATAGGAATTCCATACGAGCAACCATTTTTAATTAACGATGATAAATTTTTAAATCAAAGAATCTATTTCTATGTTCAATTTAAAATTCTTCAGGACCTTATAGCTGTCGTGGGAGCGACCATCGGTGCTATGCGTATACCAGAAAAGTGGATACCGGGTAAACTGGATCTGGTATTGAATTCTCACAATTTGATGCACGTGTTGGTTGTATTAGCGGTTTGCTCGATGCACGCCGCGACTCTGGAGGACCTCTCATGGATGTGTGGCTCTTCTCCGTGCAACAGGACAGAATCTCTTCACTTGAAGCACGATGAATTGTGATGGAGTTGGGTGCGTGGATACTTTTTAATGAAGTCTGTGATAAATCGAGCCTACGTCAACAGCTAATCACTTATGTAGGTACATACTTTGTTTAATGAAATGTGTAAATCAGAGACGATGAAAAATGTAAAACGCGGAACAAAACTTAATTAAGGGTAATAAAGAGACACGTGTGGAACAGTTTAAGTACAAGAACGAGTACAAAAATTAAATTAATTTGTCATATCACGGGAAATAAAACATATGACTTCCAATGGCAATCAGTCTTCGTGTCGATGATTCAGGGGATGGCTTTTTTTATAAAACTGGAATAAGCACATCAAAAATACATTTATTATTGTAATTATAAGAATTCAAGATTCGCAGCAATATGCAAGATGCGTTCTCGGAGACTAGTTCCGGCGTACGCATCGTTTCGCAATGTCGACGCCATTTATGTAGGCGTAGACGAATAAAGCTATCTCAAAATATCGGAATTTCTTTAATTCCGTAACCGACTCTTCGATTCTTTATACATAAGATCATTGCCCAAATGTTAATGTCGGAAAATAGAAGTTATGATCAATTGATTTCTATTTGAAATTACATACGTACATTACAGAAGCATAATTTGATCTGTGATTCACAATCGATAGATCTCATAATTAAATAATAAACAGTATAAATCTGGTTAATATGTAGTAATCATATTTTTGTTTCACCCATATACTTAAATTAAATACACACATGTGTTATGATGTGAAATTGAGAAAGACCGGAGCCGCAAGAACGTCTCCAAGTTTAAATAATATAAAATGACTAACAGATAACGTGAGTGGTAGATAAATATATTTTTCTTGTAGCGTATTGGGTACAACTGTGTTCTTGCGGGTCTAATCGTTCATACAAATTGCATGCTTCAATAGCTTATGTATTTGTACATAAACTGACCAGAGTTAATCGTCAATAAACCTATTGCGTTGAAACTATTTGTATCCAACTTTATTTCTATCGAAAATTCGGTGAACAAGAAACAAATAAAAAATAAAACAATGTTTTTATAACACAAGCACCTATTTTAAAAGCATATACATAAGGCACCATCCAAGTGCATAATATAACAATATATTAAATCTGTGAATCATTCATATACATATATGTATATGTTTTTTAAAACTAATGTAGTTATAGAATTTAAGAGAAAACTGTACATATACGTATAATAAATTAGTAAAAATTATTTCGATAATGAATCAAAAATTAAATGCTACCTTCATTTCTACGTTTTTATATTACATTTTTATAAGCAGATGAATGTAACTCCAAGGTACATCGATGATTTATATAAGTTTGTAAAGTTGTTGAAGAATTTAGTCTTCTCTTAAATTTCAGTTCCGTTACGTTGTACTTTTAATCCAAATAATTAATTTTTAACGTTATTGTAGAGGAGCTTCACTTTCTTGGGTGTAACTTTTGACTCTGCTAAATTTAAGTGGTGGATACCGCCCGCCGATAGCCGATACCCGCCATTCCCTTACAGAGGGTTCCTTCAGACAATTTTTTGCCTCGTGACCATTTCTATATTTGGTAAATATAGTATAACTCAGCCATTTCAACTGCGAATTTAATCGTCTGTGATGGTCCTGAATCTCATATTCCTATAAACCATTCAAGTGTTACTTTCAATATAATAAAAAATTATTTACGAATTACTTCTTACTTACGATGTGAAATGTTTGTTCCCCACTATCATGAATTGCATCTTTTTTCTTCTTTCTATATGAGGTAATTCCTTTTACTTCCTGTTTCTTAAGCACTAAAGTAACATAATTATCGTGCAATCTGTAATGACCAATAAGAACCGATGGATTTCGTGGAGTACGATGTTTTAAAGAGTTCACACAGCTCTGGGCCTCGTCGGTTGAAGTTAGCATCAAAACTCTTCCCTCGGGAAAAAATCTGTGATAAGAAAATATTGTAGGGAATGGTATTTTCTTATATCGATTGATTTATTGTATTAAATTACTGCATACCTCAGGTACCTGAAGTATTCCACCAGATGCCAAGGTCTGTAAAATTGATCTTGGAAACTATTTTCACCGTCGCGAATGTAACTGGTTTTACTAATATAACAACCATTGTATCTTAATCTAGACCGATTTAAATACATATCTCTCCACGATTGATACTCTGGAGCATAGGATCCACAATTTACACCCCATACTCTGCACAATTTAGTCACTGTGTAATTATTCAATCGATATAAAAATTAAATGAAGGTGTTCTGACGATCTACCTAACACAGGCAAGTCTCCAGATCTCCGTATCTCTTGCAGATATGTAAAATCCACGGCATACCCTGGAGCACATTTCGAGAGACCTTAAGTCAAGCTCTGAAGATACAACCCATCTTAGAATGTACAGTACTATTTCCATAGGCAAGGCAGAAATATGTGTTGTCTGAAATAAGGAATGTCCTGAAACGTTTATTACGACATTCGACACGAATAATGTATAACATTTATAAGTTATTTCACGATGCTTCAGTACTCACATTCTGCTCGAATTTCGGGAAACAAACACATTTATTGTGATTTACAATTTTAGATAATTTGACGACTAAATCGCTTTCTTCCTCGATTTCTTCATTACAATTTTCAGTATTATCATCGATTCGTTTTATATCTTCTTCGAACCCTTCTTGATGATCGTCGTTCGACTTCAGTTTAGTCGATTCATATAGGCGAAATTCAATATCAGGAACTAATAATACCGCACGTTTATAAAATTGAATTGCTTCATAGAATTTTCTTCTTTCCTCATATTCGATTCCTTTCAAAAATAAGTGTTTTGCCTGAAATATTTACTCCTCAATATTAAATGTAACTATGATAATTAATCAGTGATTACTGTTGTTGCATACCTTGTTCTCGATAGATTCTTCGTCGTTAGAAACGTCAAGTTTAACCGGTTTGGTTGACTGGGTCTTCGGCCGATCGCGTTTCGGCGACATTTCTAATTCACGTTGCCACTGTTCCCTGAAAGATGTTAAAGCATCCTCGATGTTTCGTTCCGGGAAGGAAGACCCTTCTTGGTCATCTCCGCCGTCATCGGACTCGCTGGATTCCCCGGAGTGACTCTATCAACATTGAATTATGATAAATAAGATAATAAAGATAGTTTATCATTTTGCTTTGTCCAAAAACTATGACTAAGGTTATGTTGACATATGTATGTTCTTTCGTGATGACAATGGAAGGACAGTTATTGTTCGTAACAAATCACGTACCATTTTTCTGTCTGCTTCAATTTCCACAGAGTTATTCCTTCAGCGCTTATACTCTCGGTCGGAAAATCGTACGAGACAGCGAAAGTACAATCTCGCCAACAGGACCGCCGCCATGGTTCTTACCGTTCTGTTCTGCGATTCAATTAAAGGTCACGCTGAGAACTATAGAACACTTGTACCATTTCCAGCTGATGTAATCAATTTCAAATTTTGATTATGTACTGCAGAAATCAATGATGTTCTATAAAAATGTTACAAAGAATCGCCTATACGTAATATAATTTATTGTGCGCAGTTTTATTACAATGTAGTGATAAGAACATTTTCTAATCGGTACTAATCAAATAGAGCGAACAAGTATTAAAGTGC